AAAGGAGAACAACGAAGAAATCTGTGGGTAAAAGGCAGTAAGAGGAAGGCAGTAGAGACAGGTGAGACACTGCTGTTGAGGATTAACAGATTCAGGACAAATCACTTTACATTTAAAACTACTGGCAAAATGTAAGCTCAACATGTCAACAAATGTCTTGTATTAGGCTTATATTAAGTTAGCCTCTCCTTTTCAAAGGTGTTTTTTTTCAAGAGGCAACTGGACTTTCTGGTTTTTCTTTGAAGACATTTCGCTTCTCATCCAAGAAGCTTCTTCAGCTCTCACTGGATGGTGTGTGTGTGTGTGTGTGTTTGTGTGTGTGTGTTCTAGCATAACTCTGGAACGCCTCAAACAATTTCAACCAAACTTGGTACACAATGACTTACTTTCAGGAAAAAAATACTGTGGGGGTAAGACACCCCTAACACCCTTCAGGTGTGTGTGTTCTGTTAAGATGCAGCCTGTTGTGCCTTAAAATGGCTTCTACTGTACTGCGTAAAATGGATTCTACTGTACAGTGCAGTGGAGTTGCCATGGTAACGGCTTCAAAGTACTCCACGAGGGGGCTCCCGCTGGTAAGGGGGGAAACCCAACATTAGAAATTACGTTTGGTGCAGACATTTTCCCCCTATAAATAAAAACCTGGGCAACGCTGGGTTATTGGCTAGTTTGTAATAAAATAACTTTTAAAGGGCTACGAATAGCCCAATCTGCCTTAGCAGTTTAGTACAGAATAAGAAACTAATATTTTGATACAGAAAATATTTTGGTTCACTGAAAAATTAATACTTAGATGCAAGAAGAGATTATACCTGCTTCTGATTCAGCTGAGCTGAAAGTTGGCTGTGAAGAGTTTTGTTATCCATGCTGTTAGCCATCTGCAAAGAAGCTACTTCAGACAATATGGAAGGTGATTTTTTCTGAATGCAATCCTTTCCTTGCTGGGAATCAATTGCCTGCTCATTGAACGACACCAGTGTTTCTTGTTTATCACTGTCCAAATGTTTCTCTGTACACTTTTGCTCTTCTGGAGTTTTCTCCGTCTCAAATAGTATTGGTTTTTTTGCTATACTGTCTCCAGCAAGTTCTACTGAGAAGCTTCTTGGTTCCTGAATAGTCACAAACTCTTTGGGTAGCAGTGTTTTTTCTTCTGTTTTCCAGTTGCTACTTTTTTTCATCGTAACTGTTTTGCTTCTACATGTTTCTGATTCATCATTTCCAAGTTTTTCTCCATTAATAGGTTTTATGCTTGATGTGTGGCTGACGCTTGACAATGATTGTTTTAGATTTTCATTTTTCAGCAAATCATGTTTAGTAAACCTCAAAGATGAATCCTCTTGCATGTGGCTAGAAGACATCTCAAATCTTTTGCTCAAATTACTTTTATGTGTATCTAATGTTTTTTTGCTTTCAGTCTGAGGCTCATGTGATTTTATTTCCGTTTTTGTTTCTTCTCTGGATAAACCTTCATGTTTGTCTTCAAAATCTTTGTTTTTTATGTGCACAGCTGATGAAAATTCCTTCTTGATAGACAAAGTCTGTGAATTGGGTGGCTGTTCTCCATCAGAGGTCTGAACATTTCTTTTCTGATTTTCTTTTTCTCCTGAATTTCTGTCTCTATCTTCATTCATTTTTTTGTAAGGAAATTGCTTGTGATTCCTGCTGGAAACTTTGAATGGGTTTCTTTCATTTGTACGATCATGCAGCAATTCCAAAGTATGCTGAGATTGTGGATGAGCTGGCAGTTCACTGGCATTTGAATCCTATAAAACAGCAACATGAAATATTAGTATACATTTAAATTACAGTATCTTCTCTAGTTTTTTAACATGCAAATTGAGAAATACCTTAATTTTTATATATCTTGCAAAGTTGCTAACTATAATAAGTAGCAATTATTGATCATTCATAAGTTATGCAACTACTAATTATATAATGATTTTTCTACATTATGTGGTTCTATATTATCATCCTAATTCAGATTATTATAACCAACTCAACATCCTCTCTCTCTACCCTGGGCTCTTGGTCTCAATTCCAAAGCGATAAAATCTGTTGGAAATCTCCAGTTATAAATATCACGTTGGTGAATATTTAGTTGATGTTTTATTAATGTTGTCTTCAGTTTTCACTAATATCCACTAAATGTCTTTAACAAAAATATTAGTTCTTTCCTGAAAAGCACATTTTATTCCGCTATTTTTTTTTAGAACTTCCCATAATTAATCTGGAATAGTAGTTCATATCATGATGAATAGAAGAAGATAAAGAAATAGTAATAAATCAAGGTACAAGAGCTTCAGATATCTAATTATTATAAAGATGTAAACTTAAATAGTCATGGTATACCTGCCAGGGGACATTTCCACACATTTTTTTCCCTTCGGTTTTACCTTTACTGCATCGATAAAACAATCTGGTTTAGAAAACAAAACATGGATTATCACACTGGGTATAAATTCTGAATATTAATTAATTGACACTGTCAAAGCATCAAATGTCCCTCTGAAAATATACCTGTACAGGTCTGTTTTTGCTTGCTTAACCAAAACTTGCAGCTCCACTATATATTCTTCATGCACCAAGCAATGAGAAGGAGAAAGACTATAGAAAGAAAAGGCAATTATTTACACAGATATTTGTCACAGAAAAAATAACTGTCTATGCTACCTCAGTAGTATCAAAGATGGTGAAAATATTTAAACCTGGCTACCCTCCCTCTCAGTATTATAAAGCGGATACAAGAATTAATGGCTTTCTTCTCACCTACCTTGGGGACAAGCACTTGTAAATCCAGCTACAATAAAATGTTTTATAAAAAGGGCTCAAAAAGCATAGTAAGATGTAAAATAAACAGTACAAAAATCTATTAAAGGCTCCAATATTTAGAATATTTAACCCTTTAATAGAATCTTTAAGCTTCTGCAGAAGCAGGCAACTAACATTTCAACTTCAAAGAAGACATTGTATAATTATGGCACAAATGTATTTCCCATGATACCTTTTTATCATTCCAACTAAAATTATAAACTAAATATAAAACTATATTTCAGTTATGAATGGATATAGAGTGATAGATATTTAGAAATAGTTTACTATGTTAAAGTAGCACAGGTATTACTTTCTGATAAACAACTGCTGAACAGTAGGTGAGCAACTGATGATTCTCCAAGCTTGTATTTTTTAAATCCAACTTACTCAGTGGGGAGCACAAAGCCGCATGGCTCCTGATTTTGGATTCCACAGATATAAAAGCTTTTGCCTTTACTTGGGCCATCTCTGTTTCCAGTCTTCAAAAAACAGGGAAATCCTGAATGGGAAGGAAATGAAAGTATGAAGTTCAATCAGAGATAGGAAAGTACCAAGCCAACTAATTTAAAAAAATCACTTCAAATATTCAGAAGGCTCATATATCAATTTTATATTTTATCTGTGGTTCTTAGAATAGAAAATTCTGCTTAGATTACCAAGCCCACCCTGCTGAGAGCAGGAACCCAAACTGTAACTTTCCCTCCAAATGTTTATCCAGACACAAAGAAAAGGGAGCATAAATAGCAGTAGTTAAACTGATTCTACAATCAAACTGCTTTTAATAACTTAAATATCCTATGACTTAATACAGACATACACAAACACAAATGCATTTTCTGGGTCTGGCTTTCAGGAATAATTGAGACAAGTCTAGTGGTCTTTTCCTATATAACGCCTTTTAGAAACTTATTGCTATCAGTAAGTTTCTTCCCCAAAATCCTCCCCAGGATTCCCAATTTTACTCAGCTTCGCATTTATCATCTTGTGAGGAGAGTTAGATTGAGAGAAAAAAACAGACCAGAAAGACTATCATGCCTAATATTATAGAAAAATATTTGTGTGCCATTTGATGAATATAACTGAGGATTCCTGGGAGCCTGAATTTTGCTTTATTGGTTAACAAAAGGCACCCTCGATTTCTGAGCTGCATCCTGTCCTATATGAAATCTTTCAACCACATTACTTTAATCCCTTTTTAACAAGCAAAAATTCCCTTGATCAATATCACGTTTTGATTTTATAAAACGAAGCTTATTTGTACTGCAGTAGTGCCCTAAAGCGGGAGGGAGGGGAGATTTTCTGCTTATGGTCTACGTGTGACCAGGAAGGACTTTTACTTTCTAAAATTGGGGCAGGGGAGGAGGACGGGAGCCCTTTATTGCTTCAAATCAGGAAGCAAATGTTTTAAACCTACTCCCAATCATACTTTAACTTGCACATTTACGTATGTATTAATCTACCTGCTTCCCCTCCCCCCCCGGCACTGCATTAAGTAGTTACTATTAGAAAAAAACTAACGGGGGTGGGGGAGCCCGATCACCTTCGAATTTTACAAGCCATTCTTGACACCTCGGTCAAGGTTTCCTGCTCATCACCCCGTCCACCCTCCTACGATCTCACCGTGAGCAGAGCACAACACTTTCTCCATAGGGCTCAATCTCTAAAGCTTTGTCTAGGGATTCCCTTCACAGCAATCAAATCCTAACCGGAGAAAAGGGAAGGACACTTTCGCTTTCCCGGGAGTCGGCAGGCCCACTTGGCTTCAAAGCTGCCAATCCCCTTATTTTCCTCTCCCGGTGGAGCCAATCAGAATTTCTCTCCCGCCCACGAAGAGCAAGAGTTTTACTCTCAGAGTAGCGAGCTAAGGAGTTTTTTTGCCCAATTGCGAAGGAGGTAGGAACGCCTCCGAGAGAAGAGAGGAGCGCAATTGGTCAGAGAGGCAGTCAATATTTTTTTTTATACTTCGCTACGCTAGCATTAGCGCGAAAAAGCAAGCTCAGTCGAGTTGGCCTTAGAACAGTTGGGTAAAAATTGTAGCGCCCCCTTGGCAATTCAAGGCAACAGGGATTACGGTACTTGACAGAGAAAGTATCAGGTCGTGATACCGACTCTCGCTTTGCAATAAATAGGAATGTGCTTGGATTTCTGGTCAAAAGTTGTTGCAACACGCTGAAGTAAACGCTGGCTGCTATCCCTAGTTTTCCCCCTTGCGGTTTTCTTTGATACAGGCACATATTTACAGTAGCCTTCATAATTATTCTGTCAAGAATAATGGTATATAATCTAACACTTATGGACAAAATATAAAAATTAAACCTCAGCAGGCTATTTTGGAATGTATTTATTTTAGCTATATTTAGTTATATCCTATCTTTAATAATTTTATAAATAATTCCAAGAGCGACACACAGCACTGAATGGGCCCATTAATTAAATTTGTTTTAATTCAACACAAGTATCAACAGCAAAGTGAAATTACCTGCAAATCAGAGGTGGTATTCAGCAGGTTCTGACCAATTCTGGCGAACTGGCAGTGGAAATTTTGAATAGTTTGGAAAATCAGTAAGTACCACCTCTGACTGGCCCGCCCCATCTATTATCTGCCTCTGGAGTCCCAGCCGATGGGGGGGGGGGGGAATGGGGATTTTGCAGTAACTCTCCTCTGGCGTGGGGAGGGAATGGAGATTTTACAGTATCCTTCTCCTACCAAGGCACACCCACCAAACCATACCACACCCACTAAGCCACGCCCACAGAACCAGTAGTAAAAAATTTTGAATCCCACCACTGATCCAAATGTACATATGATGTCACAACCAAACTTATGAATTGTTATTGAGACATCTGATGCAAATCAAAAGTGATTTTATGTCAGGTTGCATTTCTCACTTTGCAGATGCTTCAATGTTCAATGAACATTTCTAACTTGCACTATGATGGTGTTCTTTACATCTCCCCACTTCATCTATTCCTTTCTCTGACCAGTATCAATATCTCATCTAATGACACAATAATCTTGAAAAATGCACTGTATTTTATTTTTTGACCCATAGAACAAATTTCCATTACCATTATTTGATCTGGAGTTGTTTGGAATACATGATGCCTATGACTAGATTTCCACAATACTGTAATGACCTGGTGACTGCCTGGAGAATTCCTGAAGTTTACTTGGCAAAGTTTTTGTGAAGCAGTTTGCCAATGTCTGCTTACTAGCGCTGAGAGAGTGACTGGCCAAAGGTTACCTAGCTGACTTCGTGCCTAAGGATGAAGTAGAACTCAGTCTAGTCTGATGTCTTAACTAAATAATAACTTGTCTTGTTTTTTAAATAAGCCACAATTGCAGCAATATATTAATTTGAAGCAATGGATGGATTCATACAATCAAAGACATTCTATATTTTAACATTACTTGAACTCCTAGCAACTAATCTGAGGATACATAATGGATGCAACACAGAGGTGATATTCAGCAGGTTCTGACCAGTTCTGGAGAACCAGTAGCGGAAACTTTGAGTAGTTCGGAGAACTGGTAAATACCACCTGATTGGCCCTGCCCTCATCTATTCTCTGCCTCCCAAGTCCCAGCAGATCGGGAGGGAATGGGGATTTTGCAGTAACCTTCCCCTGCCACCCCCACCAAGCCATGCCCACAGAACCAGTAGTAAAAACTTTTGAATCCCACCACTGATGCAACACCATAAATGCAATATGTTTGTATGTTTATTATTGAATCTATAACCTACATTTCTGCTTGTATACGCACTCAAAATAGTTTACAACAATATTCTAATTTACTGCCAATTTACTGGCAAGAGAGTTTAGAATTTTAAAAAAATGTTCTTCTACAATACATTTATGTTGCTTTGAGTGTCAGCATTCAGTCTACAACTAAGGAAAAGTATTAAAAGTATCACCTTTTTCTGTAAAAATGCAAGTAGTATATGTTTAAATATAATTAACAAAAAAATCCTCTATTTTACAGAATTTATTCTGAATACAGAATTTAGCAAAATTCCAGTGTTGTAAATAAGATGATGGTAGATAACAAGAGAAAAGGGTGGCGCAGAATTTAAATTCAGTTATAGCTCTGTCACCATATAGGTATCCGTGACTTACAACTGTTCATTTAATGACCATTCAAAGTTACAAGAACACTGGAAAAACTTAACTTATGACCGCTTTTCATTCAGGCACCTGGCACCTGACTAATATTTGGGGTATATCTGGGGTCATGTGATCACCTTTTGCAACCTTCTTACAAGCAGTCAATGGGGAAGCCAGATTCACTTAACCATGTGATTAATTTAACAAGCGCAGTGTTTCACTTAAGAACTCTTGGCAAGGAAGGTCATAAAATGGGGCCAAACTCACTGAACAATTGCCTTACTTAGCAACAAAAATTTGGGGTTCATTGTGGTCATAAGTCAAGGTCTACCTATACATGGAAATGGAATCTGCCTAATCAGTGGACATCTATCATCATTCATGGAATATTGTTCATCATTAATCCCGGTTCCAATAATTGCACTGAGGCAATGTTATCTTCCTTCCTAACTCACCTTTTTTGTGAATCCAAAAGCAGCTCATTGCTGAAAGAACGAAACACCGAATTCCAATGATTCCTCACAGAAATGGTGGAGGGCCATACAGCTGAACTATGGACCATGGGTTTCATAATTGTCATATAGCAAGGACAAATACAATTGTGGAAGCCACAATCCAACATCTTTGGAGCGCACGATATTAATGGAATTGTTCCATATTAATGAAATTGTTAATCCTAATTACCCATATAAATTACTCCCTTAATCACTATACGAAAGTATTCAAAGTATGATTCCTGATGCTAAACAAACATTGCATTTTCTCTGCAAGGTACAAGTGAAATCACAACTGACTTTCGACACTATCAACAAAGTTACACCTACATTCATTCCATATGATCTACCAGTTTTTGCGCGAGGAAAACAAATTACCCGTTTGCACTTAAAACTCAGCATAACTTTGTATACTTTTGCAGGGGATGCCATTTTATTTTTTAAAAACATATCAACTTTTTTAAAAAAAATTATATATAGAGAGAAAAAGTATTTTGTATTCATTGTGTTTTGTAAGCTGGTTAATCAAAGCTGTATTTCACCTAATATAAAGATTAAAACATTTTCTGATCACCACCAGTTTAACAACTGAGGAATAAAAGTTTTAAATAGTAGCTATTGCAGTGTTTATGATGAATTTCTCCTGAGCAGCGTTAGCTGTGGAAAATGTAACTTTTCTGGGGGTTATGTGTTAAAGATGGACATTCTGCAGCTTTAGAGAAGGAACAAAAATATTGAAAATACAAGATGACAGTAAACGGAGAATGTAAACTTGTAGATGATCACTATAAAATGATTTAGCAAAATGTAACTATTCACATTAAAATACTAGTGTGAAAGTACCCCAATTCTCAGCCTTTACCAATACTAGATTTGATAGTCCTCAGTTGCTTTTTATTATGTTTTTTTTCCATAAGTACCTGGACAAAATTGTTAAAGTAATGGAATTACTTTAACACTGAACTGTTTATAAAGTTTTTAAAAAGCAGAAAAAGGATCCAGCCAGAAACACTATGGCTGCTGTTCCTAACCCAAGTGTTTCTGTTGCTTTAATTTTTAGAATTCTCAGTCACAGCCATGCTGTTTGCAGAACTTGCAGCTGAAATACTCTTCTGGATAGTGTCCAGCTTGGGAAATGTGCTGTATGCCACCAAAATAGTGAAATAACTTGTGCTTTATTATTTAGGGATCAGTGAACCTTTTCATACTTTTGACTTCCCAATATTTTGGGTTATTTTGTTTTCTAACACTGTGTTAAAATGATTCTTTGGGAAGTTTTTAAAGCTTTGCTTAAAATACTGGACCTGTTTTGTTTTCCTTGCAAAGAATCGTGGCGGTGCAACAGTTTTCAGTGTATCTTTTTCCTATTTGTTTTATTGAAGCAATTTTAAGTGTTTCCTTCTTCAATGCTCTGTAGTTGTATTTTTTGTCCAATGTGGACCCTGCCACCACGCCTTGCACTTCCATTGATGCCTGCCGCAGTTCGTGCTGGGAACAAAAAGCCAGACAGAGCATCTCCTCCAAACAAGGTGATCCTCACATCTGTTTCAATTGCTTTGGCCAAGCTGGATGCATAACTATCCAGAGATTTGTGAACTTCAGCCTTTACGTGGATAGAGTTCTTTGCTGCTTCTGAATAAAGAAAAGAGAGATATTAGCCCACTAATGCCATATGAATGCCTCATATGTTAGTGTTAATTTGAACATTGTAGTCATCTCTCTGGTAATGAAATACATTCATGAAGACTCGTCTTATTGTGGCTTTGGAATTTCTACATAGGACAAAATGGGTCAAGTGTATACATGATAATTTAATCTGACAAGTAACGTCTATCCATAAACTTAAAAATAAAATATGTGGATCTCAGCCATCAGCAAACTATATAACAAAGACAGGCTTTAAAGGAACTATTTTTTTTAAAAAAATACAACAGAGAGTAAAACTCCCTTTATTAAATGCTGTCCTTCCCTCCGCTCTGCCACTGAAATAGAGATTATTCAAAACTACTGCAAACTACTATTATTCCCAACATTTGCAGCAGCACTTCTAAAAGTAGCCCTTGAGTAATTCTGATTAAATCTTCTATCTAGAGTTCTAATTTTGAGCTTGGTTTCATTTTGTTTTCTTCTGAAATTGCTCTGCTGATTTCTCTTCTATAGTCCACTGTACTTTTCGTGCATGACTTCTTAGCAGTGACCAGTACCTAAGTAAAGCTAAGAGAAGAAATGAGTTTTTCTCCATTTTAGAACAGTTACTCAGTTCTCCTCCTTACAAATCCATGAGGCTGTTATCCTTCCGTATCCATATCACTTTCCTTTGTACTTCGTTTCATATGGAAAACTTTTCCTTGCTTGTCCTTTTCTTTTTAAGGAAACTCTCTATAATGAATGTTTACTTTATCCTTTCTGAATGTAATATAATTAATTTTACTTTTACTTTTTTTAGACATACAGGCAGATCAACAGACTTTGGACAGTGAGAATGCAATTATTAATATATGTGTATATTGTATATCTATGAATATAAATAGTGCATGGTCATTACTAAATTTACTTACAGGCAAAAATCTTAAAAGTTCCTATTGTTTACAGCAAAACCACATTCTCTGACAATGTCCAATAAATCTACATCCTGCAAAATATTTGCTTGTTCTATTTTTCCCCTAAAGAATAAGATAAAACTAATGTAATGTATAATGTATGTTTGTATGTGTATTTAGTGTCATAACCCCTGGTATGCCCAAATATGGGAGAAAGCCTACTGCTTCCTTTCTCTGTCTATTGGCTCATCACAAGAGACCATCCAGACAGAACCCCAATATTTTTACTGTTGCCTTTGTTACATTTGTGTTGTACTTGTGCTGATAAATAAATAAAGGGAGACTAGTATAGTATATGTTTGTGTGTACATATACACAACACACTATATGAAACAGAACTCATTTCTTCATTAAGCATCAACTTTTTATGTAAATGAATTTATTTCCTCCCCTCCTTAATTTTCCCTTTTAGATTATATGTATCTCAAAGCTATAAGTAGATTTATTTCATTTTCAAGTCTTTCATAACTTCTAATTTTATATTATATAAATTAAATTAAAATGTTAATGAAATTCAAACTAAAATTAAGTAAAATCAAATAGCAACTGAAGACTGAATTCTTGATCTAAGCAGTCCCCTTTTACACACAGTTCAGTAACGGCATGCCTAGCCTCAACATACCTTTAATTTGTTCCACTTCATCTTCAAAAGTTACAGAACTCCGGCGATGAGGGTAAACACAATGAGGGTGATTAATTCCATCAGAACTATAATCTTCAAGCAGCATAACATCTGTCCCTAAAAATAGATCATGGCTTAAACAGTTGACTAAGGAGATAATTCATTTAATGGATACATGCAAAAATGATATTTTTGTGATATGGGCAATATAGCAGCTGTATTCTTCCCTCACATCTAGAAAACAGCTGATGGCACCTCTATAGCTGGAATCATTACTACAAGGCAGAAAAGTGAGGTTGGCAAGAATGTCTTTTGCTTATGATGCTAATTATAGAGTTAGGAAGCAAGTGAATGGGAATAATGCTTCAACTTTCTTTTGCACACTTTTTCTTGTAACCAAGCCATCTTTGGTTATGAATTTTATCTTAAATTGTATTTGATTTAACTAATCACTAAACTTATTTGTAGGGAAAGGCACTTGATGCATTTGCAGGAGAGAATCAGAAGTTACAGTTAACTGTCTCCATCTTGCCTACATTCATGGGAGTTTTACAGGGAAGTCTACACACTTATTGCCCAGTAGTCTTTTTCTCAATGCTTTTTCCATTATTTTTCATTGGTACACATATACACACTCAAAAGCTATGGGAAGTGGGAATTCTGTAATAGCTGCATATTTTCACATGGATAGCACTAGGATAGTACTACTGCTGCATTTCAAGTTTATTGCAAGCTTTTTATGTGTCTGGCTGCATCATACTGCTGGCTCTTGTTCATTGCAACGTAACTCAAAGAAACAGTTACCTGAATCCTGAGAGAAACTGAAGCCTGTATCTCCTGTGCTGCTGCTGTGTCCTAAAGTCCGTTCCCCTGCCATGAGAGCTGTCAGATGTGGAGACAATCCTAGATCTGTAAAAATATTTCAGCATCCAAACAAATTAGCCAAACATCTTCAAATATCCTCAGTGCATTTTATTACATTGCTTGATTTAATAATGGCTAAGTCTGTAACAAAAACCATTACATACATTACATTAATGTAATGGTTAAGATATCATGCTAGAAACAGGGAGACCGTGAATTCTAGTCCTGCCTTGGGCACAAAGCCAACTGGGTACCTTTGGGCCAGTTACTTTCTCTCAGCCCTGGGAAAGAGGCAATGGCAAATCACTTCTCAAAACCCTTGCCAAGAAAACTGCAGCTACTTGTCCAGTCAGCACTAGACATGATCGAATGGAATTAAAAAAAAAGTTTTTTAACATCTGAATTTATTAAGCATGACTCTTGAATAATTCAGAATTAAAATTCATACCATTAAGAACATGTATCTAATAAAGTCAATGAAAAAAATCTTTATACTTCTTTTTAGCTTGGTATTAGAGCTTGAGTATCTCAAAAATAGTGAAAATTAAGGACAGAGAAGGCACAGTTCGGTCTACAGTGCCCATTGAGCGGGTCAGTCCTGGAGCCATTCAATGCCCCCAGGGCAGGCAGCAATCAAGGTCAGTGGGTTGCATGGCTTCACGTGGAGTTCCCCGGCAGTTGGGAACTACAACTCCTGCCTCCAAAGGTCCTTTCCAATTCTGTTATTTATTCTGAAAAACTTTTAAAGAAATGCTTTGAACATTTATATTTATCTAGGTTTTAACAAGTGATGATGTTTGTGCTGATTGTGATGAACGGGGAAGAGAGCTAACTGTAAAGAGAATCAATTACAAAGAACTGTGTAAAAGCAATTGTAATTGTAATGGTAGTAATAAATAAATCTATACTATAGGTTGAAGCTCCTTGATCAGCTTTAATAGGAAACCATTACCCAGAACAGTTAAACTGGAGATAAAGATTTTTTTAAAAATAAATGAATAATAAATAAACAAACCGAAAACAGAGGAACTGCAAGAGGCTCTAGATGCCTATGCATATGCAAAGGATGTGTCCGGAGAGCACTGAGGTTAATTTTCCTATTCTATCTTATCTGTTTAGTGAAGTTTATCTGAATAAAATGGATAATCGGACAAAATGAATCTCCAAGGTCTCTTTTTTCTTATGTCCAAAAATTCTCAAGCATGAAGCAGACAAAGAAACCACATGATAAATTGTAAACAACACTAGTGGTTGTACCAGACTAATTAAATGGTGGTAATTCTGCAATTTACAGTATCTTCTAGAGGCACTTTAATAATTTTTTAAAAATTACCTGTAATCCTATTAGAAATACTAAATAATCTGGATGTCCTTTGCCTTTGAACAAATGATTCTCTGTAGTACCGGTCTCCAAAGCACATTCCCAGTAACTCCTTGCGTACAGTTTTATTCCAGAGTCCATAAATCAAAGGGTGGCAAATAGCACTTGTAAAAGACAACCATGTTGCTAATGTCTCAAAGGCAGGGGAAATGCAGTTTTTACCCCAAAGTGCCTCAGATGTGATAACCGCCATGTAAGGCCCCCATGTGATGACAAAAGCCCCAATTACAACTAAAATTGTGATCAAAGCTTTGCACTGATTGGCAGAATAAACGACCCCTTGAAAAGCATTCTTTCGGCTGCCTGATGAGGACGTTGAAGTACTTGAGTTCTTTCTCCCATTCCTTTGCGTGTCTTCCGCTGCAATGACCACGCTGCCACAGTGAATCTTCCGTGCCTTAATCCTGGCCACGCGAAATATGAAACCGTAGCAAATGATCATGACTATAAATGGTAGCAAAGCACACCATATCTGCCAAAAAGCGGTGTAACCTGCCTGCTTATGCCATGCAGCTACACACATCCATTTGAACTGATCAAATTCTAAAGATGACCAACCAAAGAGGGGCGGAAGGCATCCAATTAGAGAATGAAGCCACACATACACAATGGCAACAACAGCTCTGTTACCCGTAATCTTCATGGGGTAAACCATGGGGTACAAGACAGCATAGTATCTGAAAAACATAAATGGAGTATGCAGTAATGTTAGGGTAGATGCAATACATAGGAAATTGAATAATACCAAACATGAAAAAGATTAAAGGAATGAATTTGCCTTTTGAAAATTGGATCAAATTGGAGAACCTGGGTTGTCTCTTGGAAACACACTTTCTCTTTGCTGCCTAAATATTCAGATGCTGCTTACATATAAATAAACGAAGTTATTTGTTCCAGAATCTCAAAGTATAAACTTGGTGGCATTATTATTTAAAACATATTTCTCTGCCACTGTATATTCAATGCTGGTACATGTTAAGAACTCCCCCCCACCCACATGGCCATATTCATTTCATGACAAAAACAGATGGCATACCGGTCGATAGCAATGAGTCCAAGTGTGAGCATACTGGCAGAGCTGATGAGCATATAGAGTAGGGCAGAGAAGTTGCACCAAACGACTCCAAAGATCCATTCCCGACGGATGGAGCTAGTAACAACGAAAGGAAGTACCAGCACCGAAAGAAGGAAGTTGGACAGAGTGAGGCTGAAAACAAACTTGTTGCTTAAGGTGAGCAGGTATGACTTCTTATAAAGAGTGAGGACAATCACCAGATTCCCTAAACAGATGAAAATAGCAATAATGATGATAGCAATTGACTCGGTGATTCTGCCTGCTCCCTCTTCCAGCAATGTGAGGTTTTCTGAGACATTCTCCTTACTGAGGGACAAGTTGATGCTCATTGTCAGAGCAACCAAGACATGCTGAGCGTCTGCTAAAGAAATACAAAAACAGTTGATACATATATTACATCAATGAATGCTACTTATATTTCCATAAACAAAGTTACTAGTTCCACAATTCTCAATGTACGGTCTTGGCTGCATTGTGTTAGTCAAAATATTACAAACACTACATACATAAGACTTATCAAGTTATAAAATATCACATGAACTTCATGGATATGTGCAATAATATGCAAAGCATTTTCCAAAGGCAGACAGAACAAGTAACTCATACATAACAGAGTTATTTTTATATGTTGGGTCTCCCTAAAGCTTAGCAACATAGTCACATTGCTACTATATCATCTTAGGATCAATTATCCCATGTATGAAATGTTAATTTGTTAATAATTAATTCTCATGATATTTCTGTCTATTACACTTCAAGAATGCCAGTTATAATAATATACAGAAATCCAAATGTCCTTACAAAGTTTAACTAAAACCTCTAATAGAATTACAGTAATGGAAGTGGACTATTCTTGAAAAAAGACCACCATTGCTGTCATCCAAAGCATAGCATAGCTATGGAGAATTACTGGATCATGTAGAGCATGGGATGTTCAAGAGCATCTTACTTTGACCTGAAAGTGCACAACAGAATGATCTATCCTTAGAAACCTCTTAAAACAGCAATTCATGGACAAAATCTGTATACATATAGACCCATTCAAGGAAAGCAACATTATGCAAAGAACAGGGAGAAAATATCAAGGAATCCAAAGAAATTAAGGCACAAGATAAAAAGGAAGCATCACTAAATCTACCTTTCATCAGCATCATTCACTATGAGTCTCCTACCTTTCTATCCTTGCAAGTCATCTTTGCTTCCATCACCTCCATATATTGATTTATACATTTGTTTTTGTTCTTTAAAACTTCTTTTCTGGGGTCTCTCTCTGTGGGATTTAAAATTACATTAAGTTACCGTACTTTCCACATACTTTTTTCTTAACCTTCATAACTGCTTTATTCCATGAATCTATCACTTTTTAAGTAGAAATTAAAACTTTTTTCTCCATGTGAGCTGACTCTTAATACATTCAGGGCTACTGATTTACAACACAGTAGTTTGTGGGATGCCTACACATGATTGGAAGATGGAAAATGAAGGTGTCTTGGAAATGCCAGGTAAGTAGGGCCTAGAAGAGTTCTTATTAAATGTTGGATTCAGACCACTGAATTTTCTCCCACCCACACCCAAAATTCTTTTTTTTTACGGTGGGCCTGCACAGCGGGACTTGGATGCAAAATTCACCCAGGATTGTATTCCAGGCTCGCAGTATGTACAGCTGAAATGGTTCGCATTGTACAAATCCCCGCCTGGATGCTCCAGACACCACCCTGAAAAGTGGAGGATAACTATCTCCTTACTCTCGTCTGCTTTTTCGCCCTTGGTCGGCTGTACATGGTCGGCTGTACAGAACAGAGAAATCGGGACGCTGAGATGTCTCGTCGTGGGGTTGAAAAAACAAACAAACCCTTAACCCGGCTCGGTACCAGAATTATTCAGCCAGCCTTTCTCTCCGCTGCCGAGGCATGGAGAATCATGGCTCAGTAGCCAGGCGTCTCCCGTCCCGGCCACCACCCTCGCCCAACATACCAGTCCCATCGTCGCCTAGAGGCAAAGCAAGATTTTCTTTTGCAGCGCAGGGTCTACGGGATCCCTCCGAGGAAGCAAGGACTCTGCTCTCCTTATACCGCGGGGCCGTTGTACTCTGTTCTGCACCAGAAGGTCTCGGGGACCTTCCGCCGGGGTGAGGCGACCCACTCACCTTTGACCAAACTGCCCTCCGGTAGCCCTGCAACCCCGTTATCGATGCGGGCGAAGGGGTTCAGATTACGGGTCCCCTACGGTCGCCGCCAGTCGAGGCCCATAAAAATAGTCCGATCCCCCCCCCCCTCTTTCTCGTCCATCCCCTCATCTACTTTTTCACATCCCTCCTTCCTTGAAACACTCCCTCCATCCCCGTTTTACTCCTCCCACATTCCCATCCTCTCTTTTTTGCTCCGCCGCGCTTTTGTTCTTCAGCAGCTCGGCCTCCCCCTTCATGTTTCCATCGTAATTAACTTTTTTTGTAATTCCTTTACAATTAGAAAGCAGCTTTAACAAGCTGTCTTTTTGCGGGAAAAGCTGGTTTATAGAGACAGTAGGATGAAATTTTCGAAGGCAAATTTTCTTCACCAATACTAAGTAAATAATTTATGTTAGTTAGCCCAGCCTTCCAACATTCCATTTCTTCACCCCTTCGGAAAAACTTTCATGCTGCCCTATGCTTTACTGTATATCATTTTTCTTTCTCGGTTGAAGAGTATCACTTGCACAATGGCAAAACAAAAATGAAGAGATGATTTGTTTCTATAGCAGGCAACTCCTATAGCAGACAAATTCACTATAAAGGGAAATTCCTTAGATTTTTTTTTAAATCACATTTTACATAAAGGAATATCGTTTAAATATCTCATGAGTGCAACCATTCTTCCAACAGTTTATTGGCTAATTTGGATACATCCTGCTTCAAATTAGTAATAAATCTGTTCATTTTACACTGCAATTCTACATGTTTAAAATGGAAATCGGTAGAATGTACTTTCAGTTAAGTGGTGAGAGATTGTAACTTAAAACTACAGTATTGCGTAATGTTAACATTTGCTGTACTATTTGTAAATTTAATTTCAAATAGAATTTCAGAGAACATAGCAACCAATCATAATATACAGTCATATAAGCAGACATACGCTAAATCAGAAGTTTATAAATAGTTATTGATTTGCTACATTATTTGAGCCCACTGACTGCAATTTATTTAGCAGAATATGGTCAAGTGAACCATGTCTTAGTACAATGGAAATACTCAGACTTGAGTCAAACTATTTGTCATCTATCCCTTGGTGAACATCAGCCTTTAAGAATTTTAAAAACTAATTATTTGCCAATGCTACATATAAAGATGTCAGAACAGCATGCCAGACTAAACAAATTTACTACTTTTCTCTTTCTTAAGTTTTGATATAATATGGAATTATAGCTGCTATCACCTATAAAGTCTTTTAATTTCTTTGGGACAAAACAGTGTTGGGCACATTGTACAGTCCAGAGTGCTACAAAGAAAATATGTTTAACTTATCTGAAAAAGGCAAAATAATTAATGAAAGAACAAGAATGCAGAAGATGGTCTACTGTGATGGCAAACCTATGGCATGCATGCCACAGGTGGGACGCGGAGCCATATTTGCTGGCACGGCAGTCCTCGGCAGCCCTCAGCTCTGGTGTGCATGCGCGCACCAGCCAGCTGATTTTTGGCCTTCCGGAGGGCCAGGGAGGCTGTTTTTGCCCTTCCCAGACTTCAGGAAAGCCTCCGGAGCCTAGAGAGGGCAAAAAACAGACCCTGAGGAGGCCGTTTTTGCCCTCCCCAGACTTCAGGAACACCTCCAGAGCCTGGGGAGGGTGAAAATCAGGCCCAACAGGCCAACCGGAAGTTCGGAAAGAAAGTTCCAGTTGGTCCATTGGGCCTGTTTTTTGCCCACTCTAGGCTCTGGAGGCTTTCCTGAAGCCTAGGGAGGGTGAAAGCGGTCTCCCCTGACCCCCTGGAGGCCCAGGGGAGGCCGTTTTCATCTTTCCCAGGCTTCAGGAAAGCCTCCGGAGCCCAGGGAGGACGAATTTCTACAAATTGTAGGTTAATTTCTGGTTCCAATTAAAATCTTCCACAGGTAGAACAAGAACAGTAATAAATCTTTCAAATAAATCTCAGGCCCAATTATTTATATTACTGCACCATTGCTGAGATAATGCACATGCTCTAACAGCCTATTTGGAGTTTTGTCCTTAGAAAGTTTTTATTAGTGCAGAGACAAATAACTAATTTTTTAAAAATTGCGTTCTTTCCACCATTCCCAACTTTGGTTCTGACTTTAGATGTAGCCATACTTTATTTTAGCGTGGTTTCTTGAATAAGCCACAACTGTCCAGACTTACATATACCAAGTTATAAAATATGTTTCACATACCTGGCACCAAATGACCAGGTTCATATAACATGCCAAGTTCCAATCAGATAAACTACACTCTTCAGTTGACAGAATGAATGAACATGTAATTATTGCAGAATGTGGTTGAGCTACAGCAGGGTTGCCAAACTCCTGGCATAAAGGCCAGATGTGTTATGTGCTGGTCATGCCCACATCCAGTTTAGCGAAGGTGGGGGAAGTCCCAATATGTCACGTGGCCAGATGTGTTATGCGCTGCCCACATTGGTTTAGCAAGGGGGAAAAGTCCCGATACATCACGTGCTGCTGCTGTGATGCTATGAGTTTGACACCACCAGGCTACAGTAATTATATGACAGAAAATTGGAGATACTTTTGGTAGGAAATATGGTTGTTTTTTTAAATAACTGTAGCATATAGTAGTGATGTATAAAAAAACTTAAGTAAAGTTAAAAGTTTACTGTCCAGTCAGGTCCGACTCTAGGACCTGGTGCTCATCTCCGTTTCTTAACCAAGGGAGCCAGAATTGTCCAAAGACATTTCTGATCAAATGGCCAACGTGACTGTACGCCTAGGTGCATGAAACGACTAGGAATCTTCCCTACCTATTTATCTACTCGCATTTGCATTCTTTCGAACTGGCAAGAGCTATGGTACATAATGGGAGCACAGAACGTCGTGCAGTATTCAAGTCTTGAACCAGGGATGATGAGTTGCCAATTTTACTACCAGTTCACAACCCGCCGTGCGTGCGTCCACAGTTCACTGTAAATTGTTTTTTGTGCATGCGCAGAACAATTTACAGTGAACCGCACACATGCAGTCACTAAAAACCAAAATGGTAGTGCCCCAGCCGTGGCGAGGAAACCAGTTCGGGAGCATGGCAGGCGTGGGTCGCTGCCTGTTCTGCAACCCAGACCTGCCGGTTCTGCAACCAGGAGCAACCCACCTTTGTCTTGAACCCAGGCTATCAGCTTTCGAGCTGATAAGATCAGTGTCTTTAACCCTGAGTCATCACATCCTCTTTTATATACTATATGTCTACTGTTTAAGAATGTTCTTGTTGCAATATGTGAAATATTGATGAATGTGAACATGTTATGGATTATAAAGGGTTTTTTTAGCAAAAAGTAATTACATTTCTGGTTAATATGAAGAGATATAGCATTTTTATTTATTTATTAAGCATATGGCATTTACAGAAGTCATATAATAACTGATATACAAATTTAGTTTCAATAAAATCTTACCAAATATATATAACATATATAACATCTATCCCAGTGCAATTCTATGGCTCCATATTCCGATTTTATTATGGTTTTATCTTCATTTCATATATATGCCATGGAATTGTACTGGGATAGATGTTGTAATTCAATATCTAAAGAAGGTCCACAATGGTATATCTCCACAATACCCGGGGCAACATTCTGTCTTCACTGAGCAGCTAAAAGTTTATACTCATGGCAACTGAACTGGAAATTGCATTCTGCAGTCAAAAAATACAGAGGCAGCAATTAGACTATATAGAAAAATGATTAGGAAGGTTATCAGTTTGCTTGGCTTTTGTTTATATAGAACACATAATGAATATAGTTTACAACTTGGAAATTCAATTTCCTTCCTTTTAAAATATATTTATTGTTATAGTAGATGAAAAGGAAAACTGCAATATATGGGACAGTATGTAAAAAACAGAAAACAAAGTAAAAAAGAGAAATTCCATTTTCTTTTTTCTTAATCCAAGTAATACTATTTAAGTGATAGAAATCTTTATATTATTATTATTATTAATAATAATAATAATAACAATATTACACAGAAGGTTCATTTACTCAAGAAACAGAAAAGTTTGTACATTCACATTTCATAGTAATGTAAAAATTTAAGTTAAAATATATATGACAAGTTACTCCTGTTATGAACATTTCATGAGCCACGTTTTGTGTGTTATTTTACACCCAAAACCATGATGGCAAATGTGTTGCATTTCAAGAAAACAGACTCTGCCTGTTTTAGAATAGGAAGCCACAATTTACTTATAGATCTATTGTTAATTTATAGATCTATATCTCTATATATGGCAAGTGAGACCTCGCCGAAACGTTACCAAGACAATCTCAATCTTACATGGGAAAAGACCCGAATACAACAAGACTAGCATATATATATATAGTATTTGTGCTGATAAATAAATAAATAGAGACTAGTATAGATCTATTTCAAGCTATTTAGCTCTCATCAGCTAGCCATACCCTTACTGGGATTCGAAGCATATATAAGTATAAAATGGTAAGTATAAAATGCCATCTAACATGCTTCTTAATGAACTTTTTTAATGTATTGAACAAATATAAGTGAAAGTTGGAATTGAGCACAAAAACAAATTTAGCAAACTAAATCCAAGATTGTATGACTGTGTAGTGTTAATCTTAGAAGCTGCTTCTTACTGGCTCAGAGAAGTAAGGTAGTCTGCTTAGCCTACAAGTTATATTGAAAAAAGGAAAAGCAGCAATTGCTCAGTTATCTACTATATTTTCTCTGGAACAATAAAAGAGTCAACTTTAAAAGTATTTGTATTAAAAAAAATAACTGATATAAAGATATGATCCTAGTGCAAAGAACAAGAGGATTTCCAGATGTTGCTGAACAATTCCTAATACCATTAGGTAACATTGTTAATATTAAGTAATATAACCTAAGTATTCTATTCTAACCTAGCAAAATCCAGAGGTTCTCAGTAACTGGATTTGTATATTGTAAAGTGTATTCTCGGTGTTTTTTTCTGTCTTAAACAGACATTTTACTTCTTAAGCAACCAATCTTTATTGTTCCCCACTTTAAATTGTAATTTAGTAAACAATCTAATATTTCAATTTAGTAATCAATTTAATGTTAATGTTCAATTTAGTTAAAGTTAATGTTAATTTTTAACTAAAATGAAAGATAAAAGGGACTAGTCCACCCTTCATAAAGGGGAACAATAAAATATGTGCAATTTTTCCAATTATTTACATGGAACTGTAGGAAGTTAGCACCCACCTCTCTCCTAGAAGAATGAAATATCCTAGGAAATATTGAAAAGGCAGAATATTGTATTTCCCTGGATAAGAAATGGAGAAATATGTTTTTAGGCAGGAAAGAGACTCACTCTTAATAGCCCTCACTTTTGTCAATGGGCCAGTAAAATGCCTGAGCCGGTCTATTCTACATAACAAATATCTGCCCCTTCAGCTCCAGGGTGATGGGATTAAGGCATGATAGTACTAGCGCTTTACCCATTTCACCACAGGGCACCAAACTTGGACTCAAAACACATGGCCCCATGGAAGTCTGACAACCAACCAGAATACATTTATTACACAGGAACAGGGAACAGAGAGGTGGTGGCAGAACACCAGGGGTGGGTTTCAACCGGTTCGTGGCGGTCCCCGCGAACCGGTTGGACGGCGAACCCGGAAGTAAGTAACTTCCGGGAACGGCGAAGGGGCCCCCCCCCCCCCCCCCCCCCCCCCCC